TCCACCAGCACTCCGCAGAATTCTGGTGGGGGAAACCGCGAGAGCGCCTGAAGGACCCGTCGCATGCAGTGCGTGATCATACCACTAGGTGGCTCCAAAACATGGCGTTACTCAAAAATCTCATCAAAAACAAACACAACCTTCATTATTTTGGGCAAAATTCACAGACATATTATACACACTTTGCTCTCTGTTACACCAGCACATCGCCGGGGCATCGCTCCCTGCCATCAATGACATCTACAGGAAGCGGTGTCTGAAAAGGGCCTGGAAAATCAGCGCAACAGCGCCAGCGGTGCAAGTGCTGGCCTGCTGCTGTTGTTTGTGTCGCTGATGTTTCTGGTCTTGTTATCTTAGAAGATCCACAAACATACATCAACACAAAGCTGTCTATTGCAAGTTATTTTCAATATTTCTGTTGTGGAATAAATCTCAATCTGTTTGTCTTTTTTTCATACGTTGAAAAGTGGATTGACATTATCTAAAATAATACAACTTTAAGAGTAAAAGCAGAAATTAAATGAACAAACATTCCTCATTCAGTTGCCAAATAAAAGGATTTATTTTCATTTGTAATATTCAAGAATTTTTTGAGCTATTAAAATGAGAAAAAACATACAATGTGATATTATTCATGTTATTTAAAAGGGAACACACACACACACACACATATATATATCATAATCCATCTTGTGTGACACTCCTTTATCCACATGAAGAGAATACTCTGCCATGTATTCTCTTCATGGCAGAGATTAGAGAAATGAGGCATTAGTGGTTCATTACTGTTTATTTCTTCCTGAAATGAAAAGTAAAGGTCTACAATTGAAATGAAAAGCAGAGGAAGTGAGAATAACATGATTATGAATGTGAACTATAAACAGAAACTTGGCAGCAGAAGAAGAGCAAGCGCATCCAAATCGATCCTCAGACTGTTTACTCAAATGTTGCCATACAGGTTAACATCCTGTAAAGAAAAAATATTTAATTGGCTCGTTATTGCTTAATAAACTTTATGTGCTTGTATTGTACTCTATGAACCGTACAGGAAATATGTTCTTGTAAAACCAAAGGCTTTTGACGAATATTATCAAAAATGTTGAAGTTTGGTCTAATAAGAGATCATCGTTTCATAAACAATAAAAGCTCAGAGATTAAGAGTTTCAACTGGAAAATAGTTATTTTTAATGTGTGATTCTCTTCATGGCAGAGAATAGAGAAATGAGGCATTAATGATTCATTACTGTTTATTTCTTCCTGAAATGAAAAGTAAAGGTCTACAATTGAAATGAAAAGCAGAGGAAGCGAGAATAACATGATTATGAATGTGAACTATAAACTGAAACTTGGCAGCAGAAGAAGAGCAAGCGCATCCAAATCGATCCTCAGACTGTTTACTCAAATGTTGCCGTACAGGTTAACATCCTGTAAAGAAAAAATATTTAATTGGTTCGTTATTGCTTAATAAACTTTATGTGCTTGTATTGTACTCTATGAACCGTACAGGAAATATGTTCTTGTAAAACCAAAGGCTTTTGACGAATATTATCAAAAATGTTGAAGTTTGATCTAATAAGAGATCATCGTTTCATAAACAATAAAAGCTCAGAGATTAAGAGTTTAGACTGGAAAGTTGATCATCAGGGAAAATAGTTATTTTTAATGTGTATCAAGAAAAATTGACTGAAACATCCTCTCAACAGCTGTAAATGGTAAAATTCAATGAACAATGCAACTGACCTCTGGTGTGGGCGGCGCATTTCGTCTTTGGTTACTGGATGAGCGAAACAAGATAATTAATAAAGAACCACAATAATCGCAGCAGTCTTTTGAAGCCTGAAATATAGAGTTGTTCTCCTCACTTCTTTGGTGATGGATAATACTGCTTGTTGACTTTTTCTCACAGACGAACACTTCTGCATTATTTCTAGGAGCAAAAACATATTTCACAATATCACATTTTCAGCATTTCTGCTCATTATAAAATATTTTTGAAACCACGGCTGAAAACTTACAAATAACTGACTCTGAGGTCAGTCGAGTTGTTTGGGCGTCTGCAACAATTATACACGTTGTTCTTAGTCTACTTTTAATTTTTTAATCACTTAATGTCTGATATTCTTGTTTGTAATAAACATAAAATTATTACCTTGAAAATCTATTCCAGAAAGAGTTTCTGTAAAAGAAACATTCAAGTAGTAGCAACTTTAACATTGACAATGAGGAGATTTAACAACAGAAAATGTTCCTACCTGGTGATCTGCCAGCCGACTTGACCGTCCTCTGATTGTCTGAAAATAATAGTGTTGCAAACATCAGAACTGAGGATTAAAAGGGCAGAATTTGCTTTTTGTTGATCTTACCGAGAAAACCTTCTCCAAACTGAATTCCTGCACAGAAACATTTGTTAATTTTTAGTATGTGATCAACTGCAGTTTCAAAAAAAGCTTTTTGGTTGTGCACCTTTTTTCTGGCCTTGGAGGTTTCTCTCTATCTCCCTCAAAGTAAGTCCTATAGGTATTAAAATGGTTTTGGATTTACTATTTGCTTGTGCAAAAACAAAAAGAAACTGAGCAAAACGTTTAATTCACCTGGTTAATCTACCCCAAAGAGATCTTTGGTGTATGGGGGATGTTTACATCCCTATGGAAGAACAAGGATGTAAACATCCATTTATCAGTGACACAGTGTTACATTTGAGAGTGAATATGAGTGTAAAGTAGAGCTGTATAAATTTCTAATTCCAAGCATGTAAGATCATTGTTGTTAATTAGTATTAGCGAATAATATTTAATAAATACTCATTAATATCTATAATATTTGAATCAAGATGTTTAGATTGAGAGGCAAGACATGTCTCTTAATTTTGTCCTTGAACAGCAAATTGGATTTAAAACAACCCTTACCTTACCTTACCTTACCTTACCTTACCTTACCTTACCTTACCTTACCTTACCTTACTTTACCTTACCTTACCTTACCTTACCTTACCTTACCTTACCTACCTTACCTTACCTTACCTTACCTTACCTTACCTTACCTTACCTTACCTTACCTTACTTTACCTTACCTTACCTTACCTTACCTTACCTACCTTACCTTACCTTACCTTACCTTACCTTACCTTACTTACCTTACCTTACCTTACCTTACCTTACCTTACCTTACCTACCTTACTTACCTTACCTTACCTTACCTTACCTTACTTACTTTACTTACCTTACCTTACATTACCCCTAACAACTCATATCAAAACAGAGAGCAAAAGTGCTAAATTAGCACAGCACTTAAAAGTTCTTGGAGGTAAAATTCTTGCCTTTTCTCTGGGCAATCGGTGTGCTTTCTGGTAATGAGAAAATTGTAATTTCTTTAGGTCAGCTTCATTTTCTTTAATTGGCCTCATTTTTGAAGGCAAAAAGACATCAGCGCAATACACGCAAAAGCATATATTAGTCGATTTTGAGAGGTTTACTCACCTTTTCCTGTAGAAGAATATGCCAAGCAGCACAGCAAAGAGGATCAGCACTAAGATGACAACAGGAATCACCACAGGGATAGCTTTCTGCATCTGGTACGCCGTAGTTCCTGGAGATGGAGATATAAAATAATCATAATGAGAAAATCTCTCAGTTTCCTGTGTCCAATGCTTTGATAAGAAAAATGATTTGTTGAGTCTAACCCTCTACAATTAATTTGAAAGTCCTGGTTTCATTCTTTCCACGCCAGAAGATGGCGGTACAGTTCAGGTTTCTCTGTCCATCTCCTCCAGCAACCACAAACGTGATGGTGGACGTCGTCTTCCAGACACCTCGTGACATCTCAGTGTCTGAAACCTCGTTGTTGACGTAAGGGACACTCCATGAAAACTTTGGAGGATGTGATGAGCATGAGTGACTGACAGAACAGGAGACATTTACAGTTGAACCAGCATTCACTTGAGCTGGAACTAAACTCATCACTGGTTTCTCTGGAGAAGCTGAGGATTAAAGACAAAGACGTTTGCTATTGCTCAGATTGGAAGAAAATTTATCACAAACAGCATGCGAATGATGTAAAACATTAGTAAGGATTCTTGACCTTTCATGACGATAAAAACGCAGCTGTTGTTAAATCTGTATTTGTTTGTTCCTTTCTCTCCATAGAAACAGAAAGGGCCGTTGTCAAAGGGTTTTATGTCGTCAATCTCCAAAGAGCAGTCTCCTTCATCCAGGTTTCCCAGAATTTTGGTCCGGTCCTTGAACTGGTCCAAAACATCACTGCGGGCATTGTGGTACACCAGACCCCAGTTTTTTTGTACCAGATGCCACGAGTCAGGGGCTGATCCTCGTCATCCTGGAAACTGCAGGGGATGACCACACAGGACCGAGTCAAGGCATTGAATCTGCGAGGGACGTCAGCAGCCAGGACGCGGAAAGCTGTTGGGGGGGCGAGAGGACCAGTTAAACTTAGAAAGGTGCTGTCAGAAAATACAGGACATTTAATACAAAAGACATGAAAATTATACAGATACACAAAACTGATAGCCTTAAATCTGAAATAATGCACAAAAGAGAGAAAAATAAGCAGGAAATCAGTGTCTTATGCAAGTTGTCTGGTGTAAGGAAAAAGAAAGGTGAGCTCACTATCTTTCTCGTTCAGTTCTTCTTTAACCTGTACGTATTCTGTAAAAATGAATAAATAAATGAATTTATTTTTGATTAGTAGCTAAGCAATAAACCCAAGTGAAAGCTATAAGTTTAACTGGATTAAAGAAAGCAGTCATTGTTTACTGGCCAACATTTTGAAACTGTAAATCTTCCAAGGCGTCTGGTGTCTCAAGTATTGCTCTGCAGATTTAAACACTGAAAATTTTAACTTCAATTCTGAGTTCTAATTTTAATTTGAACTATAGTGGTAAACAATGTGTGTTAGATGTAAAAATTCACTTTTTATCTGAAGAAGTGAGGAGTTTGATGTTTCTCCAGTCAGAAAATGTGCAATGCAGGTCAAAGGTTTTCCATTGTCTTCAAGGGAACCAATAAACGTAAGATTGGACTCAGTGGTATACGTATTACTGGATATTTTTTTGAGCTTTTGTAAATGCAGCATGTCTGAAAAGTTCCACTCAATTGTTGGTGTATTTGTCTTGCATTTGTAGGACACAGAACAAATTACACTCTTTGCCACTCCTTCTATTAGCTCTCCTGGAGGTTCAACCATTTTGATTGTTTCAAATGGGCCTAAGCAAAAAATTAAACTTTACTTGTGAAGAAAACTTAAAAATCTCATCAATTTAAACCACAGCATGTATATTTATACTCACATTCAACATGCAGGAGGAGCTCACTTTTGGCACTTTGTCCACCAGGATATCTCACAGTGCACTCCACCTTCTTGTGGTCTTCTTCTACATTCCAAGTTCGTTCTATTGTTCTTTCCCAAATGCCGTCTGACAACAAGGAGTCAATGGTGCGGTCTGTTCCAGGAATGCCATTCAGAGACAGGGCAGGAGGAGCAGAAGAACATGTATATTTCACTTTACAGGTAACCCTGCTTTGAGCTCCCACCTTAGGAACATCAATGATGCTCATTTGGGGTTCTTGTGCCTGGTCTATAAAGATAAAAATAGAAATATGTTAATGTATGATGATTCCAACTAAAATGTAGATATTTAAAATACTGGTGAAAGAGTGAAAGGAAAAGTTTAACATACATTATTTTAACCTAAACAACAGTTTAACTAGACAGACAAGTTTCTTGCTGCAATGGGAATAACTGCACAAGATATGAATATTTGTCAGATTTATTTTGCTTAATCAAGAAGTTGTTTTCCCAGACATGATTTTGTGCATTAAGTTGTTATGCTGCTCTTGAGAGTTGGTAAATAAAAGAAATGAGTGTGTCTGTTGTGAAGTCAACCAACTGGACCTGAGACGAACAAAGAAGGATTATATATATATATATATATTATATATATATATATATATATATATATTATATATATATATATATATATATATATATAATCCTTCTTTGTTTTTGTAATAGAATCCTTCTTTGTTCCTCTGCCTCCGCAAGGAAGGAGGCAGAGGACTAGTGAGTGTGAGAACCACTGTCCAGGACGAAACACTAAGATCCATAAATACATCAGGGACAAAGCCTCAACAGATAATGTGCTCAGTGAATGTCTCAGACAACAGGGAACGGAGGTTGAAGTGCCAGAGATACCATCATGGGAGGACAAGCCCTACATGGGATGTACCACCAGCAAATAACCCAAGTGGCTGATATCAGTAAATCCTACCAATGGCTGGAAAAAGCTGGACTCAAGGACAGCACAGAGGCCCTCATCCTGACCGCCCAGGAACAGGCCCTAAACACCAGAGCAATAGAGGCCCAGATCTACCACACCAGACAAGACCCAAGGTGTAGGTTGTGCAAGGAGGCCCCTGAGACAGTCCAGCACATCACAGCAGGGTGCAAGATACTGGCAGGGAAAGCGTACATGGAACGACATAACCAAGTGGCAGGCATAGTGTACAGAAACATCTGTGCAGAATATGGACTGGAAACCCCGAGATCAAAGTGGGAAACACCCCCAAAGGTGGTGAACACCAGAGCTAAGATCCTGTGGGACTTCCAGATCCAGACAGACAAAATGGTAATGGCGAACCAACCAGACATTGTCGTAGTGGATAAACAACAGAGGAAAGCCGTTGTGGTAGATGTAGCAATACCAAGTGATTGCAACATCAGGAAAAAGGAGCACGAGAAACTGGAGAAATACCAGGGCCTCAGGGAAGAACTGGAGAGGGCCTGGAAGGTGAAGACCACAGTGGTGCCTGTGGTCATCGGGGCCCTCGGGGCAGTAACCCCAAACTGGAGCAGTGGCTACAACAGATCCAGGAACAACATCAGACATCTCAGTTAAGAAATGTGCAGTTCTTGGCACAGCCAAGATACTGCGCAGGACCCTCAAGCTCCAGGCCTCTGGTAGAGGACCCGAGCTCAGAGGATAAGAACCACCCGCGGTGGGTGAGAAGGGAAATTTATTATGTGTGTGTGTGTGTTCTTACCTGAAACCATAATTTTGGTGCTTCTATCCAAAAATGAATGTCCCTGTGAGTGGTAGGAGGTAATTGGGTTGATATCAACCCATGGATAGAGTTTATCCTCATTGTGAGACATATCCAGCCGGTCTATTTTAAGACTACAATTGCGGTCTGACACAGAGCCAGTCAAATGTGTTATCCCATTATATCTGCTTAAAATATTTGATTGTCTTTGGTTGAATACGTCTGCGCGTCCATTACTTTGGTACAAGTACCAGACAACTTGGAGGCCACTCGGTTGGGCTTTGCTGTAGGAAAACTTGCAAGGAATGATGATACATGATCCTTTCATTCCCGTTACGCTTCTTGGAGTAGTGAAAGACCAGTCCAGATTGAGCATGTTTCCTGTAAAACACATAAAAACAAAACGATTTTGATTGGCCAGAGTAGTTTAAGCCTAATTTTAACTGATTTGCCCTGGACAGACCATAGATTTCTACATTTGAATGTTGTGTCTGCAATAGTATTATTTGTTGTCTTGGTGGGAAAAATAGTTACATTAACTCCTAAATCGAGACTTACAGGGTTCAAATGCCTAAACTGCAAAAACACAAAATCCTACCAAATAATTTTGGTCTAGTTTTTACTGCTAGTATCTCAACTTTTTTTTACTGCTAGTATCTCAACCCCAAATTCCCAGGAATTTGGGGTTGGAAACCAAATACCAGGAATTTGAATTAACTCCCAATCAGGTCTGCAGGAATGGAGACTCATCTAAAACATGCATTGCAGTGATGCTGGATATCAGAGTTGTTACATACATGTGTAGTTTTGCTGTTCTGAAACATGAATTTATTTATTTTTATTTTAACACCAAGCCATTTTCATTGCCTCGTTCCATAATGGGGACTATGTGGCTATTGTTTATTAATAATCAGGTTGTACCCTGACTATGTAATTTTAATATAAATTACTAACTTTGTTAATAATTGCCATTAGCAAAAATTTTTCATAGCCAAATCAGACCAATTGTTGGACAACAATTGCAAAATACAAGAAGAAATGTCAGAGATCCTCCAAGTAGGATGTAATTGTTCACAGAATACATGTTTTGAATCACATCAGTACAAGAAAGCACCAAGAACGGGAAGACATGTTAAATGTGTTCTTCAGTGACCAAAACCACACTGAAGACACAAAAGCAGAAGAGGTGGTAAAACAGTAAGACAATAAGTAAGTTTGAGGAATTGTGGAAAGAGTTTTGCACACAGATGTGTTTGATAAAACACAACTATGATATTGAAGTTTATTGATCTATAGCAATACAATGCAAGAGTATAAAATTATTTATTTGGTGCTCTGCCTTTTAAACTTACTAGCTTCACAGTATTCAGGGAAGCTAAATAAGTTGTCAACAATGTCACCCTGGAAATACGGAAAAGCACTGCTCAGGTCCTGCTTTAACCTCATCCGTCTAAAGTCCCTCTAGAGTCAAAAGTCATTTTTTACGTAATTCAGCTGAGTTGCATTCAAACTTTGTGACATTTTCATTTCGTATATCTTCTGGAAAAACCTGCCATTGAGTTCATCCAGACAGAGTATAACAAGCAGTTCTATACCTGAAGTGTGGTTTATTGTCCAACATTTGAGGAATAACTCATCCAGGTGTGGATATGTAGAAAAAAAGATGTTACTAACCAAGTGTACTTTAAACCTTTTTGTGAAGAAGGGCTGAATCCCCTCATTGTATCTCGTGAGATAGATGTTGGCAGACAGTCAGAAGTTCAGGGAATACACAGTTTCTGATGTGACAAAACTTTTAGGGTCTATTTTTCTCTGTTTTAGGAACTGGACAGATGTAGTCCTCACTTACACGCTTCCGGAAATAAGTGGGGTTTGGATTCTATGTTTCTGTATACTCTCTTATTTTCTCTATAGTATTTTGGTTCGATCAGCCCTGAACTCTGCTAAAGTGAGTTGTACTACATACCAAGCAAAATGGTTTATAATAACCTTCCTTTAATTAGGCAAAAATAATAATAAAATAAGGAAATGACAGGTTTAGGGTTTAGACAAACCAGAAAAAATAAACATTATTCCCACAGAACAGTAAATTCATACAGGGTAAACACTAGTTATATAACCCAGTATTGTAAACTAAGATAATATGGCAGCAAATACTATCTACTTTGCAGGCCTGTTAAGATGCTCAGGAATCAGGATTCCTCCGACTCAACAGTCCAGATATTGACTGTCAACTCAGTACCTTGTTGTCCAACAAATCCAAGCGATACTTCACCCAGTGTCCAGCGAGCCCTCTAAACCATCCAAAAACAGTAGCTCAGGGAAAAAGCAGTTGTGTGGCCTTCATGTGCTCTCCACATCGACGGCTCTCCTTTCCCTCGGTGCCAGAGGTACTCTGAGTGACACGGGCACTCAGAGTGACTATCTGGAGTCAAGGTCCTCGTTAACCAGTCCGGTAACGACCTTCTGTAACGTTTTAAGTGCTACTCTAACAGTCACAGCTGCTTACAAAAGTCCTTTGTAGCAACAGCTTTGCTCTAACTTTAGAGTGAATATACAACCAAGAAAACTAACACACAGTTAGACAGTTTCTAGCCAAAACTTGACTATGTACTGGTAGCTTGCATAACTTCTCTTGAAGACAAGTTTTACTCACTTCTAGAAACTTCTTAAAACAACGGCTCCTCCTGTGCTATCCCTTCTCTCGCTCTTGCTTACTGTTCTCTCTCTCTTTCTGCTCCTTAAGGTCTGAATGATAATCAGATCATTAAAAAAATATTAGGAAAAGTGGTGTTTCTTGTAGATATAACATTAGGCTTTATGATTTTCTTTTCTCTTAGTCTTGGTACCCCACCTAAAACTTTGTTTTGTTTTTAGGGAAGAACTCTTCTGAATCCAGGACATTATTGGGCCTTTGTAGATTTCCCAGGATGTTTTAGCCATCGCACTGTCCCACAAAGCTGCCATCATTCATGTATCCCTGGGTTACATTCCAATATGTTTCCCCAACTTCCTCCTCTCTTGTGGCACACTCATGCACACTGGAAGAAAAAGTGCTTCCTGTGTGCCCCTTGTGCACACAGGACTGCAGGTGCCCCTCATGAACATGCATGAGGGGCATGCTGTGCATGAGTGTGCCCCGCGTGAACACTGGACTGCATGCGGGGTCCTCCTATTTACAATGAGGACCCTGAACCCGGTTCTTCTGGTTCCCAGGAGACACTCTGAGATTCTTCAGTACAAAAGGTCCACACACACAGACACAGGCACTCATGCCTCCAGTGTGCATGTGCCGGAGCATGCATGTGCATGAGTGTGCACCTCATGCACACTCATGCTCCAGTGTGCATGAGGGGCTCCAGTGTGCCCATCATGCAGTTATGTGTCCCCATCTTGGTGCCTGCACGTTGGCGTTACCCCAACGTGCAGGCACTCCAGAAAGGGTGGCACACTCATCATGCTCCAGTATGCATGTGCCCCTCATGCACATGCATGTGTGCACACTCATCAGGGGCTCCAGTGTGCTCCTCATGCACACTGGAGTGCATGAGGTTCAGGGTTCTGACCGTTGTCTGTCCTTATGGGCCAAACAACAGTTCAGATTACCCACCCTTTTTGGTACGGGGTACTGGAGTGTGCCTCTCAGGGTATTCATTTGTTCTACTGGGGTCTGCAACGGGGCAATGTCAGTGAGACATGGAGGGATGTGGTTGGGAGGAATGGCCCTGCTGATCTAAACTCCAGTGGTGAACTGTTGCTGGACTTCTGTGTTTGTCATGGATTGTCCTGTGCATGGCTGTTTGTCCTGTCTCTCTCTTAATTGAGCAGGATCCATTGAAATATCTTTTTAAATAATTCTTATTTTCTTAACCTCCTCCCAAAAAGCCCTGGTTTGTTGCATTGCCATAAGCAATGTAATAGTTCCCCTTTCTCCATCATGCATACACAAATATAGAAAGTTGGGGTTACATTTATTCAGTTTTATAGCTGCATTTAGATACAAGTTCACACAATAGTTCCTAAACTTTGAAGTGCATATGAAACAGGACTAACAATAACAAGAATAGCAGAAACTTTTTGATAATGTGCAACTAAGTAGCACAACTTTGTCAAAATGTACATAACGTGCATATTGAACTGTAAATATATAACAGGAAATGTACAATCCAGTGTGTCGGTGTAGAGAAAGCGCTCTGCAGTAATAACGGAAATGTTTTTATCAAACATGTCTAAAAAACTGTGCAATAACTGCATGTAAATGCCAGTAGGGAAGTAAACATTTCTTGATTTTGTTTAGAGCAGTGATTTGATTGACTAATTTAACAAGATAATTTTTTTTCGTACCTTAATTTTTAAAATGCTTTAAATGAATTTAAAAGAGGCAGAAATGAATTGTGGGCAGGTTCTGTGGAGCATTCTGATGTCACATAAGCTGACTTGTCATCAGGCGCTTTTGGAACTTTTGTCAATAAGAGCCGAGTTCCTACAGGAATTCATCCATTTGAAGAGTTAGACGTCGGATAGATTACTTCAAAAAATTCAAGAAATTGAACTGAGCTTCAGTTTTTCGAGTAAGTATTTATTTAGAAATTAGTGAAGCAAAGAAAAAAATGACATTTTGTGCCAGTTTTTTGAAGGAAGTGTGCAGCAATGTTGAAAAAAAGTTGAGCAAGACAAGTTGTTAGTAATCAGTTTTTTTTAGCTCAACATCAAATTGTTTAATTTGAGTAACTTTTTGATGTAAACATTAAACGTCTCATTTGTGTTTTAGTACCTTTTTTTTATTTACGCGAACTTCACTGAGTATTGAAACAGCAGAAAAATATTAAGGAGTTCTACATGCAAAATAATGTTTTTCTTTAATTTTTATGGATGGTTGGTGATTTTCACACATGAAATGATTAATTTGATTTGATAGGTAACTAAATGATGTTCTGATCAACATTAAATGAAGTTTTTGATATATTACATCTTTAAATTTACAGTGTTTACGAGGAAAATGACTTTTACTGTAGAGTTGTGTTGGTACATTTTGGACATGCTTTGCACCAAAATGTACCACTTTTGCATGTCTTTGGTTTTTTACAGTCATGCTTAGAAGAAGTGAACGTTTGAGAAACAACGGATACTATGATATGGATGGACAACCTGTTATTTCATACAGGGAGGCGCCAATCAGGTAGATCAAATCAGCAATTTTCATTAAGTCATATGTTTTATGCAGTCATCTGCGGATCAGTGTACATTTTAACTCACTTGTATATTTTTCATCTAGGGCCATAAGGAGGCGCTTAACAGGTCGTCCTGAAAACCACCCTGCAGTCACATTTAGAGAGAGGTCACATTATTCTGGTGACAATGTGATTGACAGAGAAAGACAGATGATGATGACTCTGTTGCAGGGTGGTTTTGATATATCAGTCTTTGTCTTTCTCATCTTCGTCACTTTTGGTAAATAATCTCCTACAAACAGTCAATTTGGAAGTGTCACAGAAAGTCTGTATTTTTAAATTTTTTCTCACTGTTGTCTTCTGCTCATGTTCATCAGGATGTATTTGCTGTATTATTTCCTTCCACTCACGATCTTCACAGTTGTCTCTCACAACTCTAACAGACATGGTAGGCTTTCTCTTCCTAATCTTAACACTGATTTAATTATCATGATCAAACATGAGAACAAGCTGTTAATTTTTATGTTGTGCACAGGTTACGATCTTTGGACGCAAGGATCAAAGACATCTCTCCAACCTGGAGTCTTGGAGCAGAAGGTTGACTACCTTCTGCCACAAGCAGACCTGTGGCCCAACTTTGCTCTGGAGTCTCAAGGCGAGCCATTACAAATAAGATCATCAACTAGATTTCAAATTTTCAGTATTAAAATTTTCTAACTCACATTATTTCTGTTTTTGTGTTTTGTGTACAGGAGCAAATATTTTACACAAGATGACCTCAGAGGCTTATGACATCAATAAAGAAGTTGGAAGGTTTGGGAAATTGTTCAAGAGACCTCCTATTGGCCCAGGCATTGTTATTAAGGTTTGAATGATGATCAGATCATTAAAAAAATAAAAGTGGTGTTTCTTGGTGATATATTATTAGGCTTTATGATTTACTTTTCTCTTAGTCTTGGTACCCCACTTAAATTTTGTTCTCTGTTTTCAGGGAAAAAATCGTCTGCAACCTGGAAAATGCTGGGCCTTTCCAGGTTTCCAGGGACGTTTGGGCGTCTCACTTTCACACCCAGCCACCATCAGACATGTGTCCCTGGGTCACATTGCTAAGACTGTGTCCCCAACGTCCTCTGTCTCTAGTGCTCCCAAAGAATTTTCTGTATATGTAAGTCAAATAAAATGAGTGTCAAAAGTGTAATATAGATATAGCCACGTATAGTATAGTATATATTAAGTATACATTCAAAAGGTGATAGCATTGATTCCATATGACATTGCTTGATCTCATTCTAAACCATGCAAACTTTCTGTCTGCACTAATGAATTTTCTGTTTATCTCAGGATGTGATATGTTTTCTGATACACCGACTAACTTTCACATATGTTGAAAGAACAAGATAATGAACTGAATTTTTATCTAATTTTGTCTCAGGGAAAGAAGAATTTAGAAGATGAGGAAACTCATTTGGGAACTTTCCAATACGATGAAGATGGAGACCAAATACAGACCTTCAAACTTCCTGTAAATATGTCAAATTAATGTTTTATTAACCAAATACAGTTCTCTCAGAAGACCAGACTTACCTACCCTGTTATAAATATTGATATATTGAAATGATGATCATATATTCTAACATACAATCATAAGGTTCTTCACTGGGTATTACTAGCATTCAATTTAAAAACATACTTTGAATAAAGTACCGTATTATTGTTTCATTCAAAAGGCTTCAATGAAAAACTCTACTTAAACCATAAAAATGTATGTTAATCTTGCACTTTTAGAGTAGTGGTAACTGATAAAAAGCATTGAAAAATTAATCAATTAGTTAAGTTGTCTAGAAATAGTGCCTAAATGTAATGCAGCCACATTAAGCTTTGTTATTGAACCATAACTATTCCAAAACACAGAGATACAAAGTGTTTAACTTGAACAAATGGAAAAAACTGTAGATTTATTTGGCCATCTATTAAGGAGGAAAATATTGTTGTCTTGGCATAAATCTCGTTGAGACTTTTATTACATCACGGTAACAAAATACAAAAAGTCAACCTCTTATTATTAAGATGTGGGAGATTCTTCAATCAACACGGAGACTCGGATTTCTTTTACTGAACATTTCTGTTCAGTTTTTATTGAGGAGAAAACAGTGACAGCTGATCACAGCTGTTTGTTACCTAGCAACCAAAATCAACAGAAGCAAGACAGTGACGAAATACAGAACCACATCCGGTTTAGCATTCTTCAAAATAAAAGACTTCCTCTATTCAAATAAATCATGCCTCGCACTTAAATATATTTCACTGTAGCTTTTGTAATTATTTACAATCATGTTAATTTAAATAAATAATAATCATCACGTAAATTATGCTCAACATACAATTGTAAGGAAGTCACTTAAAATGCAAATTGTACTTAACAAATAAATAAAAATGTAAAAAAGTCATAACACTTTTCACAAAACAATAATTTTTATTGTCTCTGTATAACAAACAACAAAATCCCAGTGTTACTACAAAACATTTTGTTTTCTGGTTAGCAAGATATCAGTATAATTACCTCGCTATCTTGAGATAAACTATGCAAAATGTATTTACAGCAAGGAAAGTTGAACTAGGCTTCCATCAGACAGACCTCCTTTGTTTCTATCATCTATTTGCAACTATGGATTATCAATCTAACCTCCCTAATTTATATCTCTCTTGACTTACAGGCCGATAAAGTTGGTTCCTTCCGTCATGTGACTCTAAAGGTGAACAGCAACTGGGGTCATCCGGACTACACCTGCCTCTATAACTTTAGAGTGCATGGAGAAATTGCAAAATGACGAGGAGAAATGGATGACATATGGAGAAAACTATTTTTTTACCCTTTGATATATCTCTTTTGTATATGTTTACACAATTAATTTTAATTCCTCACAAAAAGTCCTCACAGTCAACCGTAAGTAGCACAATGGCACAGTTAGTAGCACTGTTACCTTTCAGAAAGAGGTTCAGACGTAATAAAAGTGGGATTTGTGGGTTTTCTCCGGGTGCTCCGGCTTCCTCCCTCAGACATTTTAAAATTGGCACGTGTGGGTTCTCTCTGGAAGCTCCGGCTTCCTCCCACAGAAATAATAAAAGTAGGATTTGTGGGTTCTCTCTGGGTGCTCCGGCTTCCTCCCACAGAAATAATAAAAGTAGGATTTGTGGGTTCTCTCTGGGTGCTCCGGCTTCCTCCCACAATAAAACTTTAGCTGTTCGGTTAATTGGTCTGCCCAAAATCTCCTCAGCTGTGAGTATGTGCTGCATGGTTGACAACATAACGACATAAACTTTATGATAACATTAACATATTCAAACACAAACTTATACTCTTAATCAAATTAAAGATTGTCTGTCCAGGATATGGGAATACAGCAACATGATTTTGTAGATAATGATGCACTAACACAATTCTTTAAGTTCTTTCACAAATATTGAAGTTTAACTTTGTTTCATGTTATTCTTTTGGGACTGATTCCAGTGAGAGGTAGTTTACTGCTACAGGTTCAGACTATTTTCTGTTAATATCTATTGTATAGACTTTCCCAGATCTACCTTTTGTAACATGTGTATTGTAAACTAATATTGTAATTGAATCTGTCTTTCTTTCAGAAGGTTTGTTGACAGTTTTGTGTTTGTGTGTTTTTTATTTTTGCCCTCTTGAAGCCAGCCAGCCTCGGCAGATGGCTGCTCATCCTGAGCCTGGTTCTGCTGGAGGTTTCTTCCTTTTAAAGGGAGTTTTCCTCTCCACTGTTGCCTTGTGCTTGCTCAGGATGGGGGATCCCTTGGATTAAACATCCATCGCGATCTGCTGGTGACCCCTCCGCAGAATCGCCACCTTAACGTGGTGGAGGGGTTTGAGTATCCCCATGACCCAGATGGAGATTTTGTCTTGGGGTTCAGCCAATAGTGAGGCTTCCCAGGGCAGGCTGCCATTGGGGAGGGATCAGACTAAGAGCGATTCAAGGTTTTCAATGAAGGGCTACCAAAGGAATCAGGTATTTCTAGGACACAGACAGTTATCCCAAGTACGGTTTTGACGGAAGTTTCTCCCTATAAAAAGTCAGTAATCTTCTTCACTGATAAAAATGACAATGAATTCACTGTACTCCAATGCCCTCCTGTGACTGCTAATTGTGCTTCCATTAAGGTACCAGAATGTGAGGGTCCTAAAGTCACATGGGGACTTTGGTCTATTTGACCCAAGGGCTTCTGTTCCACATGGCCAACGAGTGAGCAGTGTGAGACAAGTGGAGATTTGAGACAGACACACAGGCATGGAAGGTTCTGGCTCAATACTTGGAGAGGAGCCACTCACCCACACTTGAAGGAGGTCCACACCTTGGAGGAGTTGCCTACACCTGAAGGGGCCAATGGGTCCATGTTTGAAGAAAAACTGCACACGACAGAGGGCCAGAAGGAGGCGTGCACATGTCAGTTCAGTGGTTCCCAGGTATATGCCAACATGCCTGGGCTTCTGTCTACATGTCTGGGATGGTGCCACATACTCTTGATTTGTGTTTTAAAAATAAAGGCCTCTAAAGTGCTTCAAATGGTTACTGGTGTTGTATCCACTCATTCTTCTTTGATGGCCTTTGTGCCGTAACACTCCAAGTCAGTAAATCTCAATCCTTTAAAGAACATTTGGGATGCTGTGAGGTGGAATATTTGTATCATCAACATGGAGCCAACAAATATGCAGCAATTCATCATCTGCCAAAGATACAACTATACTATTTTACAGACCTTCCAACCTACACACAACAGAATGTGAGAAACTGCAACATTGCATGGCATGTGCAGGGTTTGTCTTCAGAAAACGTTTTAAGACTGGTTGGGGCACCATAGCTGTTGACAGGAAACATAAGATATTACTGTGTAATTGAGTTACTTGAAGACAATACTTAAACCCAAAACTATAGAATCCAAAAAAAAAAAAAAATACAATTAAAAAAAATGTCAGTGATTTGCAATTCTGTTAAATCCAAATTAAGTCATGTCGTCGATCCAAGAGCACAATATAATGCTGATCACATTTAGAACTGGCCTGAAGATACAAAGCTGGCATGTTTACTTAGTAAGAGTTCAAAGAACAATATTTATAATTAGACTGTTTTGTTACCTCAACCACAATCTGGTGCTGTCAGTTAAATCTTTGAGTTTTAGCTCTGTTTGTTCACAAACACATCTTAGTAAACTACGATTTTAAGTGACTCTTCGGCCAATTAAACTGGGGATGGAGAGGGCAGTTTGGAGGGAGTGTCACATGACACAATTTTCCATTTCCTGCCATCATTTTCCTCTTATGACAATCTTAGAATGTTCTGACCTATTCTGTGTTGTGTTGGGACAACTCCGACATAAAATCGGGGATAGTCAACATTGTCTTGGCCCTTTTATCGTAGCCAGTCACTGGGAATGAGAACGCAGCCTGTTGACTGTTACAGGTAGCCAATCAGAAAGTGTGGTGTCGTAAGCACAGAGTAAATGTTTTACTCATTTCAGCAGTCATCCACTAAGATGTTTCAGCATTTATTAAAAACGGAGCAAATGTCTGTAAAATATTTCACATTTCAATCACATTGACTCATTTAATTATTTCAAAATAGCAACATTTAGTATCAAAAGAGCAATGAATGCAAAATGTCATCTTTTTTTGTTTTTATTCATAAGCTTTTTTTGTTTTTATTTACTAAGCAACAAAAACAGTAAAGAAATATTAAGGATATCGCTAATTACCAAATTTTGTTTGGTTTTTGTTACCCATGTTTTTAGGTTTATTATGAATGAGCTGAAGTGAAGCAGAATAAAGTTGTCAAATGAATTATGAATGGAGTTTATTTGAGGTCATCACCTTGGAGGCCTAGCCCTGCAATATAGATGTTTGTTTTTCTTCTTCTCCCTGGTTGACCCAAGTAATATAAGAATTTTCTATGTTCTTTGATAAATTGTATGTTTCATGCTCAATTTATACATTTTCAACACATTTTAAGCACAACCGGAAGTTGAGTGATGTATGTTGATTGAATCATGGACAACAGAAGACTGAGTATTGTATGCTAATTGATACAGGAGACTAAGTACTGTATGCTAATTGATCATGCTCTGAGCTCATGGTCAAGTCGTGGGCAGGGAAGTAGCATTCTGATTGGCTAACCCGTCAGGAAGAGGGGAAATGGCCATTCCCTTCTTTCATTCGAGTTTGTTTTGGTAATGAGTATAAAAGGCAGAAAAGTCCCATTGTTCAGTAGAGTCAGAGTAGAGTACGGACGCCCAATTTTTACCGCTGCACCATTGAGAGCATCCTCACCAACTGCATCACAGTTTGGTATGGGAACTGCTCTGTCTCCGACCGGAAGGCGCTGCAGAGGGTGGTGAAAACTGCGCAGTGTAACTTTCTCTAGAGAGATAAAAAAAAGACAAATCTTCAAGACGTGACTGCCTGCGAGTGGTCCCTCAGCTCCACCAGCACTCCGCAGAATTCTTTATTACATTTTGTGTGTGTGTGTGTGTGTGTGTGTGTGATCGTATAGGTTAAATCGAACAGTTAACAATTTCTTAAAATCAAAACAAAACATTCTCATTTCAAAATAACTTCAACAAAACCAACAGTAAAATAACTGCCATCGCAGCCAACAGTTAACAGTTATAACTTTTGGAAAACATTTCTATATATATTTTTTATACATGTATACATATGTTTTTATAACCAGAACCCACCTAGAGTGATAAAAAAAGACAAATCTTCAAGACGTGACTGCCTGCGAGTGGTCCCTCAGCTGAAAAACAACAGATATAGTTAGCGTCATGACTGTTTGGTCAGCCAGCAACACCAACTGACGCAGCTCTCACACATAGGGCCATATTTTTCCAGCCCAACCACGACAAAACGTCATAATTTATATTTATGAATGTCAGTTGTTATTATAGTATTTTGTTAAGTACTGAACCAGAAAAATATGACCCCAAGTAAAAAAAATAATGAAGAGCTGCGCCTCCACCAGCACTCCGCAGAATTCTGGTGGGGGAAACCGCGAGAGCGCCTGAAGGACCCGTCGCATGCAGTGCGTGATCATACCACTAGGTGGCTCCAAAACATGGCGTTACTCAAAAATCTCATCAAAAACAAACACAACCTTCATTATTTTGGGCAAAATTCACAGACATATTATACACACTTTGCTCTCTGTTACACCAGCACATCGCCGGGGCATCGCTCCCTGCCATCAATGACATCTACAGGAAGCGGTGTCTGAAAAGGGCCTGGAAAATCAGCGCAACAGCGCCAGCGGTGCAAGTGCTGGCCTGCTGCTGTTGTTTGTGTCGCTGATGTTTCTGGTCTTGTTATCTTAGAAGATCCACAAACATACATCAACACAAAGCTGTCTATTGCAAGTTATTTTCAATATTTCTGTTGTGGAATAAATCTCAATCTGTTTGTCTTTTTTCATACGTTGAAAAGTGGATTGACATTATCTAAAATAATACAACTTTAAGAGTAAAAGCAGAAATTAAATGAACAAACATTCCTCATTCAGTTGCCAAATAAAAGGATTTATTTTCATTTGTAATATTCAAGAATTTTTTGAGCTATTAAAATGAGAAAAAACATACAATGTGATATTATTCATGTTATTTAAAAGGGAACACACACACACACACACATATATATATCATAATCCATCTTGTGTGACACTCCTTTATCCACATGAAGAGAATACTCTGCCATGTATTCTCTTCATGGCAGAGATTAGAGAAATGAGGCATTAGTGGTTCATTACTGTTTATTTCTTCCTGAAATGAAAAGTAAAGGTCTACAATTGAAATGAAAAGCAGAGGAAGTGAGAATAACATGATTATGAATGTGAACTATAAACAGAAACTTGGCAGCAGAAGAAGAGCAAGCGCATCCAAATCGATCCTCAGACTGTTTACTCAAATGTTGCCATACAGGTTAACATCCTGTAAAGAAAAAATATTTAATTGGCTCGTTATTGCTTAATAAACTTTATGTGCTTGTATTGTACTCTATGAACCGTACAGGAAATATGTTCTTGTAAAACCAAAGGCTTTTGACGAATATTATCAAAAATGTTGAAGTTTGGTCTAATAAGAGATCATCGTTTCATAAACAATAAAAGCTCAGAGATTAAGAGTTTCAACTGGAAAATAGTTATTTTTAATGTGTGATTCTCTTCATGGCAGAGAATAGAGAAATGAGGCATTAATGATTCATTACTGTTTATTTCTTCCTGAAATGAAAAGTAAAGGTCTACAATTGAAATGAAAAGCAGAGGAAGCGAGAATAACATGATTATGAATGTGAACTATAAACTGAAACTTGGCAGCAGAAGAAGAGCAAGCGCATCCAAATCGATCCTCAGACTGTTTACTCAAATGTTGCCGTACAGGTTAACATCCTGTAAAGAAAAAATATTTAATTGGTTCGTTATTGCTTAATAAACTTTATGTGCTTGTATTGTACTCTATGAACCGTACAGGAAATATGTTCTTGTAAAACCAAAGGCTTTTGACGAATATTATCAAAAATGTTGAAGTTTGATCTAATAAGAGATCATCGTTTCATAAACAATAAAGCTCAGAGATTAAGAGTTTAGACTGGAAAGTTGATCATCAGGGAAAATAGTTATTTTTAATGTGTATCAAGAAAAATTGACTGAAACATCCTCTCAACAGCTGTAAATGGTAAAATTCAATGAACAATGCAACTGACCTCTGGTGTGGGCGGCGCATTTCGTCTTTGGTTACTGGATGAGCGAAACAAGATAATTAATAAAGAACCACAATAATCGCAGCAGTCTTTTGAAGCCTGAAATATAGAGTTGTTCTCCTCACTTCTTTGGTGATGGATAATACTGCTTGTTGACTTTTTCTCACAGACGAACACTTCTGCATTATTTCTAGGAGCAAAAACATATTTCACAATATCACATTTTCAGCATTTCTGCTCATTATAAAATAAAACCACGGCTGAAAACTTACAAATAACTGACTCTGAGGTCAGTCGAGTTGTTTGGGCGTCTGCAACAATTATACACGTTGTTCTTAGTCTACTTTTAATTTTTTAATCACTTAATGTCTGATATTCTTGTTTGTAATAAACATAAAATTATTACCTTGAAAATCTATTCCAGAAAGAGTTTCTGTAAAAGAAACATTCAAGTAGTAGCAACTTTAACATTGACAATGAGGAGATTTAACAACAGAAAATGTTCCTACCTGGTGATCTGCCAGCCGACTTGACCGTCCTCTGATTGTCTGAAAATAATAGTGTTGCAAACATCAGAACTGAGGATTAAAAGGGCAGAATTTGCTTTTTGTTGATCTTACCGAGAAAACCTTCTCCAAACTGAATTCCTGCACAGAAACATTTGTTAATTTTTAGTATGTGATCAACTGCAGTTTCAAAAAAAGCTTTTTGGTTGTGCACCTTTTTTCTGGCCTTGGAGGTTTCTCTCTATCTCCCTCAAAGTAAGTCCTATAGGTATTAAATGGTTTTGGATTTACTATTTGCTTGTGCAAAAACAAAAAGAAACTGAGCAAAACGTTTAATTCACCTGGTTAATCTACCCCAAAGAGATCTTTGGTGTATGGGGGATGTTTACATCCCTATGGAAGAACAAGGATGTAAACATCCATTTATCAGTGACACAGTGTTACATTTGAGAGTGAATATGAGTGTAAAGTAGAGCTGTATAAATTTCTAATTCCAAGCATGTAAGATCATTGTTGTTAATTAGTATTAGCGAATAATATTTAATAAATACTCATTAATATCTATAATATTTGAATCAAGATGTTTAGATTGAGAGGCAAGACATGTCTCTTAATTTTGTCCTTGAACAGCAAATTGGATTTAAAACAACCCTTACCTTACCTTACCTTACCTTACCTTACCTTACCTTACCTTACCTTACCTTACCTTACCTTACCTTACCTTACCTTACCTTACCTTACCTTACCTTACCTTACCTTACCTTACCTTACCTTACCTTACCTTACCTTACCTTACCTTACCTTACTTACCTTACCTTACCTTACCTTACCTTACCTTACCTTACCTTACCTTACCTTACCTTACCTTACCTTACCTTACCTTACCTTACCTTACCTTACCTTACCTTACTTTACCTTACCTTACCTTACATTACCCCTAACAACTCATATCAAAACAGAGAGCAAAAGTGCTAAATTAGCACAGCACTTAAAAGTTCTTGGAGGTAAAATTCTTGCCTTTTCTCTGGGCAATCGGTGTGCTTTCTGGTAATGAGAAAATTGTAATTTCTTTAGGTCAGCTTCATTTTCTTTAATTGGCCTCATTTTTGAAGGCAAAAAGACATCAGCGCAATACACGCAAAAGCATATATTAGTCGATTTTGAGAGGTTTACTCACCTTTTCCTGTAGAAGAATATGCCAAGCAGCACAGCAAAGAGGATCAGCACTAAGATGACAACAGGAATCACCACAGGGATAGCTTTCTGCATCTGGTACGCCGTAGTTCCTGGAGATGGAGATATAAAATAATCATAATGAGAAAATCTCTCAGTTTCCTGTGTCCAATGCTTTGATAAGAAAAATGATTTGTTGAGTCTAACCCTCTACAATTAATTTGAAAGTCCTGGTTTCATTCTTTCCACGCCAGAAGATGGCGGTACAGTTCAGGTTTCTCTGTCCATCTCCTCCAGCAACCACAAACGTGATGGTGGACGTCGTCTTCCAGACACCTCGTGACATCTCAGTGTCTGAAACCTCGTTGTTGACGTAAGGGACACTCCATGAAAACTTTGGAGGATGTGATGAGCATGAGTGACTGACAGAACAGGAGACATTTACAGTTGAACCAGCATTCACTTGAGCTGGAACTAAACTCATCACTGGTTTCTCTGGAGAAGCTGAGGATTAAAGACAAAGACGTTTGCTATTGCTCAGATTGGAAGAAAATTTATCACAAACAGCATGCGAATGATGTAAAACATTAGTAAGGATTCTTGACCTTTCATGACGATAAAAACGCAGCTGTTGTTAAATCTGTATTTGTTTGTTCCTTTCTCTCCATAGAAACAGAAAGGGCCGTTGTCAAAGGGTTTTATGTCGTCAATCTCCAAAG